CTAGAATTACAACCAGAGGACCAGCCCACTAACTCATATGATCAGGCTTCACCGATCACCAGACGACTTCGCTGATCAATTCCTAGGGCTTTTCCAAAGTCTGTTGACTGGAAAAAAAAATTCAGGCTTGCACACACAAATCTGATAGACCTGTTCATGAGTATTACAACTGACCTCAGTTTGTAAAGTAAATTCTGGTCTTCCTGCAGATGTGCATTTATCCAGGCAGCTTTTAACTCTATGTTTATTAACGGGCTGAAACGAGAACTTTCCCTTCTAGTAAAAAAAAAAAAAAAAAAAAAAAACGACCAGGATGGAATGGGAAACTGTCCACTGCAGAGTTAATGTAGCAAACCAGCTTTCTTACACTCTCGATGAATCACCTCAAAGGAAGATGGCTAAAATTCTTAATCTTATACTTCAACTCCAGTGACTAAAGGCTCCTAAATGAAAGTAAAACCCTCCTAGTTTCTGCTATTATTGCAAAGAGCCAGGAAATTAGAAAAGAGATTGTTACAAATTCAAGTGCTTCAGGTACCTCCAGCCCTCTAACTAGCTTTCCCAACATCCTCCCAATTCTCAATGATGGGGCTCCAGGAACAACAGGGGCTCTTCCCAATCCTCCCTCTTAATCAGCTCGGAGGAACACTTCTCTAGAGAGGGGAGGAATCTCTTCCAGTCCTAATGGACCTGGAGTCATGCTTTCAGTGCCTGACCCCACTACTATAAAGCAGCCCCTGCCTCAGAGTACCAAAACAGCTCAAACAGTGGGGCTCTCTAATGGACCTCAACAGGTTCCTGCCTCTGAATGTTTTCCCTTCTTTCTAGACCCTTTGATAGATACACACCCTTTTCTCCTTAGTTCCTATGCTCCTACCCATTGATTAGGCTGAGACTTAGAGAATTATGGAAGGTGAAAATAATTCGAGAATTTGATAAGTCAAAGTAACCAGCCAGGTGAATAAATGTCCCTTTGATATCTTTCGTTTGTTTCATCTCTGACAGTACTAGAGCTGATTCTTGAAAAGCTATCATGTGTCCCTACTGAATCAGCTATCACCTTCCTTATGAGCAAAATCTACAACCGATATTGGCAAAATTCACAGCACGTCTCCCATCAAGATTCAAATAGACCCCTCACCTCTTCCCACAATTAATCAATACCCTATAAGTAAAGAAGCTCTTTATGGCATAAAACCCATAATAGATTACAAGACTCAAGGCCTCATCATCCTTTATACAAGTCCCTGTAACATTCGTATTTTATCAGTGAGAATCTAAGGGCAAAGGATGGAGGTGTGTCCAGGACCTCTGAGCAATGAACAACATTGTTATCCCATGACACACTGTTGTTCCTAACCCTCACAAGTTACTAACATTCATTCTCACCAAAAGTAAATTCTTTACTGTAACTGATTTATGCAGTACATTCTTTAGTATTTCAGTTGATGAAGCTACCCAATATGTTTTTGCTTTCACTTGGGAAGAAAAATAATTCACCTGGATAGTAAAGCCTCAGGGTTTTACTGAGAGTCCTTCTTATTTCTTGTAAATCCTAAAGGCTGATCTGGATGATATAAAGTTCCCTAGAGGTTCTATTTTGCTGCAATATGTGGATGATTTGCTTCTTTGCTCTCCTTCTCAAGCCTTCTCACAGGAAGACAGTATCCACTTGCTAAAGCTTTTAGCCTTAGAGGGACATAAAGCTCACCAAAGAAAAACTGAAGTTTGCCCAAACCCAGATTCAATATTTAGGATATCTGAAACCAGAACAAGGCCTACTCCTAGATCCAGATAAGCTTCATGGTGTCCTAAGTTTCCCCAAACCCAAAACTAAGTGAGGTTTTCTTGGGCTAATTGGTCATTACTGAAACTGTGAGGTTTTCTTGGGCTAATTGGTCATTACTGAAAACTGGATCCCAAATTTCTCTCTTACAGCCAAACCTCTGTATGTTTTACTCATCAATAACAATCCCAACCCAATTTTATGGGAAGAACTGAATGACATAGCTTTTAAGGCCTCAAAGGAGAGTTTGATGAACCCACCTGCCGTTGGGCAGGCCAATGATCAGATCCCATTCTTCCCCGTTTATATCCGAAAAGGAAGGGAATGCTTTTGGGGTATTCACCCCAAACACAGAAACCACCATCAACTCATAGCCAGCAACTGGACCCTGTGGCATGGGGATACCATGCCCTTAACCACTGCCCTTTTGCTTAAGGCCACCAAGAAAGTGATCATGGGATCCCCTTTAACCAGCTGTGTCCCTCATACAGTAGAAGATCTTCTGAATTCTCAACACACTCAACATTTCTCCAGCTGCCCCATCTACCATGCAGTCCCTTGGTAAACTGGTCCTCACATAACTCTTTTACACCGTAGTAACCTTAACGCTACCACTCTTTCCTCCATCATCAACAAAGTCCCTCACGACTACTTAACACTGACAGACCACATGCTGACGCCACCTGGTATTTACAAGAAAGTCCTCTGGGTAACACTGACTTCTCATGGTTCTCTGACGGTTCCTATTTAAAATGTGGCAATGGCAAATACTGTGCTGGGTGTGCTAAACTGCCAGTATTTACATTGTTAGTATACGTGCTTTTGAAGTAGCTCATGATTTGGGGATGCTGTGGGAGCAACATGATTTTCTTACTTTCAGCAGAAATAAAATTTTAAATGGCCCCTATGTTTAGCAATTATAGCGTGCAATACTTTTACCTGCCACTTGAGCTATTATTAAGATTACGGGGCATTCTCAACTTCTCTCTGGAAGTTTAGAGAGATCATGTTGCTGCTATTTCCACAAGGAATGCTGCCCTTCAAGGGACCAACAGCAGCCAAACCTCTGTCATGGTCCAAAGGGATATTTCCCCAAATGATAATTTAGAAAAACTGGCTAGAGAAGCCCAACAATTGGCTTCAGAAAAGGAAAAACAAGATTGGAAATTCAACAACTGTTGGTTTGATAAAAAGAGAAAGCTCTCGTTTGGACCAAATAACTCAGTCTTACTGGAGACTCTAAAATTCCCACTCCTCGCCACTGTACATGCATGAAACCATGGTCTACTAACTCATTCATGAGTTAATATTCGTGGGGAAAAATTAGCAAACCTACAAAAAGTGCCTACCTCACTTGTCCCACTTGTCTGAAGTACAACCCAGGGAAGCCTCTTCACATGCTCCCAAATATTTCAAACTGCCTAACTGACCATTTGAGTTCTGGTTAAGTGAATGTCATACAACTTCCTCCTCCATCTAATGGATAAACATGTTACAGTCACAGTTCATATGTTTTCACACTGGGCTCAAGAACCTTTCTTTGCAGATAGGCTACTGCCTCTTTTGTGGCTAATGTCCTTTTGGAAAAGATTATTCCCACCTGGGGAACTCCTCTCAAACTTCAAAGTTATTGAGGAACCCATTTTACTGGCCACGTGTTTCAACAAGTTTGTGCTGTTTGGCCAGTTTTACAACACTTGTACCGTGTTTACACCCTCCCTCAATCCTCTGGTTTAGTTGAACGCACTAACAGCATTATTAAGACTCAATTGGCAAGATTTGTAGAGGTCCTCCAAGTACCCTGGCCAAAAGCATTTCTGTTGTTCCTTCTAAATCTCAGATCCATTCCTTGTGGAAATCCAACTCTCCTCTCACCCTTCGAGATCGTCACAGGACACCTAATGCATTTGGTTCCTGCTTCTTTTCACCCACAACTGACAAAAGGAGAGATACTCCAATACTGCAAAGGCCTAATTGCTTCTATTAAAAATAACCATGTTTTGGTGGAGCAATCTTTTCACAGCATGCTCTCGGGGGACAAAGACCTTAAGCATCATACCTTGTAAACCTGGAGATTTTGTCTGGTGGAAAGGACACCTCCAGAAGAACCCTGCTCAGCCTTACTGGAGAGGCCCCTATCAGGTCCTGCTAACCAATCCTTATCCCACCAAACTTCAAAGAATAGACTCTTGGATTCATGTGACACACCTGAAGAAAGCAGAGAACCCTGACTGGACCTGCAAATCACCTAGTGACCTGAAAATAAAGATTTCCTGGAATTGAAACAGATGATATCTGATGAGACAGCTTTCCCAAGATATCCAGACCAGGCATGTTGGAAGTTTGTTGCCAAACCTTTGATGATGACATAACACTTTAGATAACCTCTAATGCCTATGACCTTGATAAGATATGGACTTTAGATTAAAAGTGCTCAAGAGTTCTCCCTCCTACCCCCTCTTTTACTCAAATGTGACCTCAATAGGTTTACAATCTGTGTACTTTTTCTCTGATGTGAGACACTACACTTAGGACAGGTCCTTCCTGGCACTGAGGGACAGAAGCTGCTGAAACTAGAAAACCTGACTCTTGATCAACAGTGCTTTCAGGGAAAGGTCTTGATCAAAAGGGGTAAATATAAAAAAAAAATTAATAAACAGAAACCTCAACCAAATATAGTCAGGGGACCAGAAGGGGGAGATCTTATGCCCTGCAACAATAGCAGACCCCAAGGAGGAGAAGAAAGACCCCTCTTCCTTCCCAGCAAGGACTCAGCCAATTAAAACAACATGGACTCTTTCTTTACTATAACCCTCCCAACTTTCTTTTTCCCTCTGTAAAAGGGCTATCCTTCCCTTGCCATGCAGGGACTTGCACATGGCTCACCATGGTTGCAGACACAAATAGCAATTCTCTGTTAATCCCCAATAAACCCATCTTTGCTGGAGAAATATCTGGCAGTTTATTTGCTGTAGGTCAATAAACCCATGTCCCAACCACCTCCTTTATCAGGCTCCCCTCATAGGACTTATACTCTGGGCCACTTACCCCAGGGCCAAGTACCAGACAACTAAGAACAGCCTCCATGCCCCAGAGCATGCCAAAATTATTCATACTAGCCAACTCTAAACCTGTTTACCTACTCCACCCATTCCTTCTTGCAGAAATCACTATAAAGTCTCTTGTTCACTCACTCTGCCTCCTGATTGACCCTGGGGCTTCTCTGCATGGCCCTGCATGGCATATCATGCTTTTTGTTTCCTGTTTCTAAGGAGCTGTAAGTATAAAAAACTTCTTGCAATGACAGTAAGTTACATGTCTGTGTGTCTCACCATACTTGATTAAAGCAAATGCTGGGCGCTCTTTTAAGACAAGAAGGCTAGAAAGAATTGGATGTAAGGGAGTGATGAGTGTGTTGCATGACTGGACAGTTGATCAAGGACCATTTAAGTGGGGACCATTTAACTTCAACTAATCATTTATGAGACAAAGGATGGGAATTTAAAGGGTCTATAACTAGCCTTGTTATAGATACATAAAATTTGAAGATAACTTCTTGTTTAAATCATATGGGTAAGAGTGGATCTCTGCAATAAACAATGTCCAGAAACACAAAAAGGATGGGGGACATTTCTTGACTGTTCCTGTTTTCCAGGAGAACAGGGCTCAGGTAAAGTTCCACGATGTCACTAGCCTTTTTAGAACAGGATTCTTATCATGGCAGGTCATATTGTTTAACTTTTTTTTTTTTTTTACTTTTTTCTCTACACTTGTGAGCTTTAACAGTGCTTTTGGAGTGGGACAATATAAAATTTGAGTGTCAATTATAAATATTGTTTGAGATTCCATTAGACTCAAAACCAACTTTGCTGAAACAAATAACTTAGGGTTAATACAAAACAAAATAAAAATTCCTTCATATAGTGATTATTGCGCTCTGTCTCAAAACACTTGTGGAATATTAACTCATTCTACATGTTATCAGACTGGGCTTCAAAACGTTAAAACAACCTAGATCATTACTGAGATTCTTCCAGGGTCTAATACAGATGATTCTAAGATAAAGATGCCTTTATGTTTCTAAGTCCCTGACCCATTAAATTCCACCATGGTCTGTCTCCGTTCCATAGAACACTATGCCTCAACCCCTACCCTACTGAGAAAGGGACAGTTGGTGAAGGGGAAGAGGTTGAGAAAAGAGGATGTGCAAAGAATGAACTCTGATGTACGAATTTGCTTCCTACAGGGTCTCAATCACAGAACAGAGAGGAAATCATAACATAATAAAATTGCATTCATGCATATTCACTTAAAAAGAATTGTATTTAATATTAACAATATCTTAAGTCGTCATGATGTAGCTAATAAACCAGCAAACAGCAATTCATATTGGAATTGTTTGACTTCCTGTCAAATAGCAGCATTCTTGTACATGTAGAAAGAGTGAGATAAACAACTTAGCTGAGAATTAATGAATTAAGAAATACCTGAAAAGCTTTGTCTATGATCTGGGTTATTGGAAGAACTCCAAGGAGTAGTCTTGATTTTGATTAATATTATAATTTATCTAGTTAAGGAAGTACCTCATAAATACTCATGAAGCATTTTATTAGATGACTGTAAATACTTAAAATCTTATTTTGCAGTCCTTTTCATCACAAAGAAAGAGGAACAGTCTGTGAGCTGTATATCATTTAGCCTTGTTCATTGACAGCCAGTCACACTGTTTTAAAAACAAGATGTTTCAATACTCATGCTGCCTTTGCATAAAGTTGGTGTTCTTATAGATCTGCCCTTGTACTAATGTGATATATAGAACTTAATTCTGTGATGACACATGCTCTCCTACACCCTCTAGTGGCACATTTTCCCTAAGGCCATTCCAATGATGAGCTAAGGACAGATGGGGTCTATTTACAGCAACTCAGTGGACATTTGATAGCCCAATATATGCCAGCAGCTTGGAGAGAGAAGGGCTAAAAGCAGCATCTCAAACCTACCTCACAGGAAGTAAGGCTCTGCAAAACTTTTAAAACTTTCATCCATCTGCCCTTCTCCACTTTGCAATAACCATCCTCTCTCTGCTGTCCAAACCGTACCACCACTACAGCTAGTGCCCTCTGGTTTCTCCTCTCCATAGCTACACTCTCATCATCATAACAGTACACACACACCATAATACAAAAAAGCAAACACTTTCATTCATCTATCAAAGGGAAAGGAGTAATGACTTTCAGTGACGCCGCCCATTACAGAACAGGTGCACTTTTGATATGCCAGGACTTACAGATCTTCCCAATCTCCATTTACAATCCCACTTCAATTTCATGGACATTTTCATGCCAGTGATACTTCTGTCCAACATCCATTTATAGACAAGCATGTATTAGTTGAAATTCATCTGAACCTTTTTTTTTTACTCAAGCCTTTTTGGGTCTTCCACACACTTTCCACATTTTCAAGCAAATATCCATAAAATCTCTGCTTTCTCAACTCAATCTGATCCACTAAGCCCTATAAGAAACCTGACCCTTCCACTCAATCCAATTTGTTCACTGTATGAAAAGTCTCTATAGGTTCTAGGACCGATTTGAGAAATTATCCAGAACATTCCTTCCATCTACAAGTTTCCCCAACTTGCTTTGTCCTAACCAGCAACTGAGAATGCTTTATTCAAAATATAAATCCCAAGGATTGACATCCACAAGATGACAGGAATTGTTTTTTTAAAAAAAACCATCATCCTCAAATAGAACATTGATTTTAACAGCCACCCCTACCTTTGTAGGAGTCAAGGAGTCCAGCGGAGAAGTTTCAGCACACCACCAAAGCAAAAAAACCCCTGAAAATAAATGCATTGAAGAAAGTGAGAACAGTTTCAATTTACCCATATCAGTCCTCCCCCAAGGGGGCACATCTCAGTGCCAAGAGCAATTTCTTGGCCCCCAGCAATTTCTCCTACATGGGAAAGTAACAGTGTAGTGAGTGCCTTGCTTCCCTGGCTATGTGAGATACTGCCCAAGAGGCACCCTTCTTTCTCACCCAAACCAGAACACTAAGGTGATCAGCACCACCAAGGGACTGAGAGAAGCTAGGAGCACAGTAACCAAGACACAGAACTCAAAGGACTTTGAGTCCTATGACAAACTCCATCAGGAAGATGCCCCATAAGCCACTTGGGACACCTTGCTTACAGGTCCCCCCAGCTGGCCCATGGATGCCCTTGAAGCTCTGTCTGCCTCACTCACCCGAATCCTCTTCCCCACCACCCACACGGCGGGCTCCCTGAGCACGCGCTGGTGGATTATGAATGCAAGTTTTTGCAGATGGCTTGTGAGCACCTGCATAAAGTCAAGCTGACTGCAGGACTGGAAGAAGGCACAGTTAGGGCACCACCCCCAGAGAGAACAAATGGGAGGCTCTCAAGCATCTGGCCTGGCTTTCTAGAATTCAGAGAAGGCACACAATTTTAGTAATTCGCTCCCAAGAGGGAACAACAGATGTAGAGCGGGTGATTCCATTGAGAGCCTCAGAAGCCTTAGCCAGACTGGTGAAACTATTTTTCTCCCGAAGCCAGTCGTCAAAGAACAGAGAAGGTGACTGCTCCTTCAGTAGAAATCATAAAAAAGAACCAAATAAATTCTGGAACTAAAGAATACAAAGAGAGCAAGCTTAAGAGTCTGTGAATTCAAAGGTAAGTCATTTGAAATTATCCAGTCAGAGAAGAAAAAAAGATGGATGAATAAAACCCTGCAATTATTTACTCTCATTATTCCACGACCCCTGCCCTGTCAAGGTGATGACATTATTTTGGAACTACTGGTTCACACAAAAGTGTGGTTGCTTGTTGTTATCGTTTAAATAATTTTGGAAAACCCATCACACCAGACTTCCCTCTGGGATTGTGGTTTTCAATTTTTTTTTTTTTTTTTTGGTCTCATGAAAATTCTACATTCTTAAAAATAAATGAGGACTCTCATGAGGTTTCGTTTATGGGGGTTATATCTGCTAATATTTAACGTATTAAAAATAAAATAGATTAAAAAATTTAATTTATTGATTCATTTAAAAATAATAAACCCATTACATGTTAACTTAAATAACAACCTTTATTTAAAAAGAAGAGTGAGAGATGTGGTATTGTTTTACATTTTTTCAAATCTCTTTAATGTCTCATTTAATAGAAGATGGCTGGATTGTCATATCTGTTTCTGCATTCAGTCCATTGTGTAAGTCATTCTAGTTGAAGTAAATGAACATTTGACCTCACAGAGATAGGTAGTTGAAAAGAGAGGGACCCCACTGACCTCCTGAAAAGGTCTCAGGGAACCCCAACCTTCCCCAGACCACTCTTTGAAAACCTCTAAAAACAAACAGACAAAACCTGTTTAATATCCTTTAACCAACCATTACTAAAGCTATTGGAATAACCACGGTTATTGAACTAAGGACATGCTATGTTGGGTTTGAATTTCAAAATCTTAATTAAGGTTTACTTGCCTTTGTTATTGTTTCCTAAATGGCTTTCCTCTTTAGGCTTGAGTTTGCTCCAGGACTAAGTCACTTAACTTCTCTAAATGCCATATAGTGTGTTCCTTTCCCCATCTCTACTTTCCTGGGTATAGCACAGGAGTCTAAAAAAGAATCGGTGCTGCCCCTCTATTGGTGCCACAAGTGGGATCTCCCCAGCCATTTTCTTTGCATCCTGTGACAGTTCATTTGTAGTACATTCATGCTTTTTAGTTCTCTCTTGGGGAAACATCTCAGCTAGAAACTGAAGCATAAGGTGTGTGTGCACAGACACAGACACTGTTGTTTGCTATTATCTTAGGAAGATGTAGTAGAAGTAAATAAGTTTTATGGTGCAAATATTTCACATTCTGATAAATACAAGTCACTTCCTACTTTATCCTTTTCACATCGACATTCTTACCTGAACACTCTTTCCATAACATAACTAATCCAGAAGTGGTGAGTATAAATTTTGTAGATTAAAACAACAGTATGTCTAATTACATATAATTACCCAAACCATTATCTGCCACAACTACCAACATCCTTTGAAGCACAATTTGGAAAATCTATTCTAGACTATACCTAGGAGAACTGCTATTAAGATAGTGTTGGAAATCTCTAGTGGGTCACTGAATGCTCCTGAAATCATCTCATTAGCAAGTTCTAAACTATCCCTCCAGATTCTACATTTCTACTTTAAAAAAATGTAGTGATCCATTTTATATAGACAAATTGGGTAAAAACTTACAATAATCTTGAAAA